ACCCTAAACCCTGCACCTTAAGCCCTCAACTCAACCCCATGCCAGTCATTACGGCTCCTGTGCTACATGAGCTTCTGAGCAGACACTGATTCATCAGAGAGCGGGAGACGGCGATGCCATGACTGGAAGATGCCGCTAACAAACAGAATAGGTATGTGGGGGATACCATCCTGTGATAGGGTTTAGGGTTTAGGGGATTAAGGGGCTAGAAGGGGATAGCAGTACTGAGAATTCCGGCCCCTACAAAGCCAAGATGTTGGGTTTGGAGATGTCTGGCTAACCGGCTTTAAATAGCATCGTGCATGATCGACTTTCAATCACTGCCAGCACCGTCACATCCTTGGCCATCATGCCACGATCACTTTAGGGTTTAGGGATGAGCATGCCTCCCAGACAGGGCTAGGGGCTTTGGGGGCTTTGTTTGCTGTTTTCATCTCTGTTCTCCAGCCTCTCGTAGACGAACTTCCAACTCCACAAAGTCTCATCGCAGTGCTCGTCCAGTCGCACTGCATTTCTTTTGTCGACAGGTGACTCCAACGACCACGGCTGGACGCCGCAGGCGCAGCCGCGGATCACGAAATTGTGGCATCACAGTATGGATGGCTTCGGCATAACCTCAGCTTTTTTGACGAAAGCGGAGTGTAGGTAGGGCGCTGAGTCCATCATGCGATCGAAGCAGTTTCTTTTTAAGTTGAGCATTGCTGGTCACAGAGATAGTGCTGGCTGCTGGAGGACGACCGCCAGCGGCACTATTCCTATTTCTCCTCCTCCTCCTCCTCCTCCTGCTCCTGGCCCTCCTCGTCCTGTCAACTCCTCGATGAATATTTTCACTGAGTGAGTGCTACTATTAGATGTACTAGTGCCATGAATCCATTGCATGAGCTGCATGTGCGCTTTACTTCACAGCGCTCTGCAGGACCAGATGATGAACGAGCAGGTGCCACCCGGGGTTGTTCACTGGAAGTGCCGACCATTTACCGGCACCCATTGCGCGCCCTAAACCCTAAACCCTAAACCCTAAACCATAAACCCGAAGTAAGAGTGGAAGGGGTGGGGGAAGCAGTGCTTGCAGAGGGTCTCGAAGTGTTTCTTGCCCTAAACCCTAAACCTTAAACCCTAAACTCTAAACCCTAAACCCTGAAGATCACGCTCTGCTTTCGCAAGTTTCGTCGTGTGCTCGACTCGGGCTATGGCCGTGTTCTGTGTGCAGAATCCTTCGGAATCCCAGGGTCTCGGGTGGAGGCATGTGGGGCCCTGGGAGCTAGGATTAGGGGGACCCTTGGGGATATAGACCCTCTCGATAAGGTCCCTTTTAAGAGAGCTAAAAGTAGGGTTCAGAAGGGGTACCCTATAAGGGGTACCCCTAATAATACTGCCTAGGGAAGTTTGGCAGTTGGTTTAGGGCTGGGTTGCTCTTGCAAGATCATCTTGTAGTGAGGAGTGTCGATTTGTGACATCTGCTTGGCCCTCCTCTTGCTTCACAAGCACTGCCACCAGGGCCCCCCCCCCCCCAGTACTTCATGAGCTGCAGCTCAGCTGAAGAAACCGGCAATCATTGTCAGAACTGCCTCCAGCCCTGCGTCAGGCCGCGCTGCACACGGAGGTAAACCGCGAAAAAGAACTGGCCGCCGGGCAGCCCGGTTTGGGGGTGTAGGGATGACGTGGAGTTCTTCAGATCATGGGGTTGTCGAGCTGAGAATGTTTTTTTCAGGGCACAGGGTTTGTCGGAGTGCAGGTGTGCCTGCGTGTTCGTCCGGGTGCCGTTTGGGGGTCCATATCGGTGTGCCAGTTGCAGGATTTGGTGTAAGGTTGAATACTATAGGAAACTGGATACGCCCTTATTGCATTTTGGTGCCACGGACAGATTTGCGCTGGAGCCCCTGTTTTTGCGCATGTCGAGTTTCAGGGTGTAACCTCTGTCATTATGGGATCACTCACTAGATTACGAGGCAACCCGGCCGAAACGGCTGTGCCAGAGACTTTTGCTTTTCGGGAGCCACCACACATCCTAAACCATAAAGTTGAGGGTGCCGGGTGTAGGGAGGCCTACTGTTTGGATTTTCGACTTTTGCTAGGGTTGCAGATTTTGTGTCTCAGAAAGCCCACAGACGACTTCCGGAAGTTTGTTAGTGCCACCCGTGCTCCCATAGGACATGGAGGAGCAGGCGGATGAGTTGGCTGAAGGCCGGCAGACTTGTTCGTCGCTCTATGGTTTCGACCGAAAACACGCACACACATATATAATATACATGTCATATATATATATATAAACAGACATAAGTAAATGATTACATAAGTGTATATATATATATGTGATACATAGACATACGTTTATCTATATGTGTATGTCTATGTATAGATGTATGTGTATGTGCATGTATATGTGTGTATGTTTATGTATCAACCCACATGCATGCATGTATGCACGTCTGCATGTATGCATGCTTGCATGCATGTATGCCTTTCTGGATGTATCAATGTATGGATGTATGGATGTTTCGACAAAGGGGGTATGTATGTATCTGTGTTTGTCTGTCTGTCTGTCTGTCTGTCTGTCTGTCTGTCTGTCTGTCTGTATGTATGTATGTATGTATGTATGTATGTATGTATGTACGTTCGTATGTACGTATTCTTGACGCCTACATTGGCTGTCGAACACAAACAAAGAACTTCAATTCACCACGCGTGTTGTGCTGGTGGCTGCATTTTTCGTGTTGAGTGAGATCGACAACGAGTGCTCGTGCTGGCATCACGTTTGGCCGTTAATGCAACCTCGCTTTGCTATAGTCGGAACTGTTGGCACCATTATCGTCATCATTCTTGGCTGCTTGGCTGCTTGACGCTGTAGCAACCATGCCTGTGACATGAAGCGGATGACGTTGCTGCTGCTGCTGCTGCTGCTGCTGCCATCGCTGCTGCTGCTGTGGATTGTCTTTGCTACTACGGCTACGTTGGTGTTGCTGTTGCTGCGCAAGTAGACCATGTGGCCTTCTCTCCCGAAGGCAAGCTGAATGACGCGGTTGACCACGCCTACGCGCTGGCAGAGCCTGCGCCCCCAGGGCTTTTTTGTAGCCTCTTGTGGATTAAACCCTAAACCCTGAACCTAAACCCTAAACCTTGTCCTGTGTTGGTGAAGATGCCGCGGCCTGAAAGCTGAGGTCCAAGGCCCGAAACCTATTGCCTAATCTCACAAGTGTCTAGGCTCTACCCATAGGCCCTAAAGTAGTTCCTTTTGGGGTTCATATATAGAATCCTATAAGGTAATCCCAAAAAGGAACCCTAAACCCTAAACCCTAAACCCTAAACCCTAAGCCCTAAACCCTAAACCCTAAACCCTGAAACTCTAGGCCTTAAGTCCTTGCAGAGCCCTCTTTAAGAACCCGTGGCTTAATTTTACTTGTAACAACGCCGGTAGTGTGGTTTAAAAAACAGAGCCCTCGTAAGAACCGAGATAGCAAGGCAACCCCATGAAGAGCCCTTGTATTAAGCCGTTAAAGAACCCTTGTAAAACCCTTTATACAAGCCCTTCTAAGAAGTCTTTTTCTGAACCTCTCTAAGAATTTGTATTTAGGCCCAAACCCCTAATGCAAAAACCTAACCCCTGGAACCCTTGAAGCCCTAAGCCCCAAGCCTTAAGCCTAAATCCCAAACCCTTAACCGTTGTAGAACCCTTTCAGGGTTTAGGGTTTAGGGTTTAGGATTTACGGGGGTCTTCCTTCTTTCTCAGAGGTCAGCACGGGTCTGGGCCGAGCGGTCCTCTTCCATCGTCGATGCCGGGGGCCTCGAAAATTCGGGATTTGAGGATGGGCTTAGGGCTTCAGGGCTTCAGGGTTTGAGGGCTTCAGGATTTGGGGTTTCAGGGCTTAGGGCCTAGGGTTTTAGGGTTTCGGGGTTTAGGGTTTCAGGGTTTCAGGGCTTAGGGCCTTGGGTTTAGGGTTTCAGGGTTTAGGGCATAGGGCCTAGGGTTTAGGGTTTAGGGCTTCAGGGTTTAGGGCCTAGGGTCTAGTCTATAGGGTTTCAGGGCTTCAGGGCTTCAGGGTTTAGGGCCTAGGGTTTAGGGTCCCTAGGGTTTAGGGGTTTCTTCGGGTTTCGGGCTTTGGGTTCGGGGAGGAGGCCTGCGGTTTTCCTTGGGTCCCTAAACCCTAAACCCTAAACCGTTAGTGGGTTCAGTGTCTTAGATGTTTGGGATTTTGGTTCCAGTGTGTGATGCTTTTGGGGTTTGCGGCACGGAGTTTAGAATTTCACGAAACTGAACAAAGCCCTGCGCCCTCAACACACTTAGAAGGTCCAACACAAAATCTTTGGACACGGCTTAAACCCAAAAACCCAACGACCAAGACGCGGCGTTCTAAAGCTCCAAGCAATAAAGCTCTAAACGCTAAAGCCCTGAAGCCCCAAAACCCCAAAGTCCAATTCCCAAGACCCTAAGCGAAGACCTAAAACCCGAAAGCCCTCTGCGAGGCCACGCGGGAGGAGCAGGCAGACCAGGAAGCGGTGCGCGACGTCACGCTTTCGGTGTCGGCACCCGTATAAAATCGACCCCAAAGGGACCCGAATTTAGAGAATTACCCAAGTGAGTCCCAGGAGATTTTCCCGCAGTTCCTGATCATGTCTAGGGGTTTCGGGATGTGTTGGTTGGTTTCCTGGTTCGGAGGTTTGGAAGGCCGGACATGTTTTTTTTTTCATTGCATAGTGGAAGGGAAGGGACGGGTCAGGCATATCTTTTCGTCATATAGAGGGCTTCCTGAGCTTGAGCTGCAGCTACTATAGCGGCCTTAATAGAAACCTATAGTATTTTGGGGGCTCGGTATAATTACTGTTATTTCCATACTACATGCTTGTGCTGCCACGCTCTTAGATCTGCCGTGCGTGCTCTCATGATCACCGCGCGCGGACCCTGTTCTTGCGAGCTTCGTTCGCTGCTGTTGCAATGTACCTGTGTGCTGCCCCAAGCGTCATATGGGGGTTTCAGAAAATAGGGGACCCTACTATAGTACCCTGAGTAGTAGGATCCTTATTATGAGGACCCCAAAAGAAGGTACCCCTCATTTTCGGAACCTCCCATATCGAGACAGCGCCTCAGCCAGGTGGACATCGCGAAGCTTGGTGCAGAATGTTTCCGGGATCAGTCCGGTGATGCGATTGTAGCATATGGGGGTTTCCGAAAATAGGGGACCCTAATCTGGCACCCTAAATAGTAGGATCCTTAATATAAGGACCCCAAAATACGGTACCCCTTATTTCCGGAAACTCCCATCGGCGCAGCCTTGGCCAGGTCCTTTTTGCCGCCGGCAGACTTCCTTCTGAGACGTCGGGTTTTTGGTCGCTAAGAATCCCATGTGGTTCCGATAATAATTACCTGTAGTATTTTGGGGGCTCATGATTATGATTATTGTTATAATAATAATAATTATTATTTTTATTTTTGTTATTATTGTTATTCTTATTGTTATTGTT